ACGATTTCGAAAGTTCAAAATGTGCAGGTGTGACAGTTAAACTTACTTAAAAACGAAGAAACCTTCTGCACAATATTTGCCGGAAATATGGTTGCTCTTACGGTTACTAATTAGTTATGCATATTCTCATACCAGCTCGTGGAGTCATGTAGGTCCTTGCTGATCATATGCTACAGTCGTCCCTCTGAGCTTCATAGGCATGAGTTGAGAATCGCATTTACGAATCCACTTAGTTAACTATGTAGACTTGGAATATCCAAGTTTGAGTCAAACATGATAAGATGCTTTGGTGCGAGCCATCCCTCTGTCATGGATAGGCGCATGTGACTGGAACATGCAAATAACGGGTCATTTGTTTTTGTTTTGCTGCCCTCTTTAATCAGAACAAGCCACCCCAAACAGTGTTGCTGTTTGGTGGACAAGTTGTGGTCAGAAACGTGAAGTAGGTCAATGGACGCGTGCATGCAGTTTTGTTCCGAACAAATGGTCTACAGACGATAGGCGTATAGCTAATGGTGGATTACCAAGCAGTTGCGTGCAGAGCGTGTGAAACTTCGTTGTGTTTTGTTGCATATAGTAGTCCAGACATTAAGTATTCTGAAACACAAGTATAAACTTCTGGAAGACTACCTATTGGACCGATTTATGCCAGAAGTCTGACAGTCAACACACCGGAATATCCGACCGATATAATGGACTACAAACGTGGAGATAAAGAGAGAAACGTAGGAGACTTTTCTCAAGATGGTGCACATAGTGGAAAAACTGGTGAGAAAGAAAAAAAGTGTTTTCCTCATTAGTTAATGGAAGTCTTTCCTGTAGTGTTTTCTCTCCCTTATCACTCGGTGCATGTTTGGGTCATTTTCTCAATACGCAGCCAGAAAATATATCAGGATAAGATATTCGTTGTATAGACGCAGTACACTACTCATGAGGTTGCTGAAAACTCTTCGACAGCCTAGGATCGGTTTTGCCTTCTTTGAGTTCATCAGGTAGCCACTATCCCCAAGTTTTCGTTTTGGCTTTATGTCCTTGTTAAACTCAAATTTCAAGAAACGAAGTTTATATGCAAATAAGTGCATTTGTCAAAAAGATATTCAGCTTCACAATAAGAACACTGCCGACATTATCAAGGGAACAGCTGGTTCAACGGTATTTTCGAAGACTGTTTCTTTATGAGGAGGGCTATCACTTCTTTATCCTTCTACACCTCATTTTCCAGATTCAGAATGGAAATATATTTCTGAATTGCACCGTGTAAATAAGAAGACCAGCTGGCACATTATCTTCACTACCGAGGCCGGAGCAGAAGAAATTGACTCGCATGATGCACCCTTTTAGGGGAGGTTCTACAAACTCAGTGACAGCTCAACCATTTGTCTCAGTAGTGAAATTCACACGGTGGTAACATGCGTTCTTAAATGGACGTAGGTGATGCCAATATTCTCAGCGAAATTAGGTTACGTACTGGACATATACCACACTTCATACATCAGTTTATGCGTAACTACGGAGCAAGTATAAAAACACCAGAATAAAAGAATAAGGGCAAAACCGGTCGTGGGCTGTCGAAGAGTTTTCAGTAACCTTGTGAGTAGTTTCCTTTATGAAAATATACTGCGATATCTCGTGCTAACTGAAACATGAGGCAGCCTGTGTGCAGCACATTCGATTGTAGCATATCATAAACTAGAGATTCAGTTGAGTCTCTCGTGAAAACCATACTGATTTGTAAACGAGTGCATTTCTATAAAAGATTAACCGCTTACTCAGGCCGGACGTAAAGCTTCTATACAGGGTTGAGTTTCGAGCAAACTTTACGCCACTCATCTATAGCCAGACATCTCAACAACTCAAGTTGATCTTATACCAGCATTGCCCGTTTTCCTCTGTCACATGTGGTGTTTGATGAAGTATCTTCAGTTAGTCGATCAAAAACTTTTCTGTATTCAGAAAAACGTGGTTGGGATTTCAAGTTGACTTGGTCCTAGTGACGCAAAAAGCCATGTCTTTTTGACTGGGTTGCTGACCTGTTTGGTATGTGATCACGGACAAACCGTTCTCTGTAGGTACCATGAACCATGTCTTCTCATTACCTGACCCTACTACGAGGAGATAGTCCGAAATGCCTGCTTTCACCTCTTGCTTTCCGAATTCCCGTTATCGTTTGGTTGCAATCGTCATGTCGCCGGCCAGAGTCATATCGCTATTGCATTGTAGAACACTTCCATTCACCAGCTCATCAGACATGTGATTAAACGTTTGGGGCTAAATGGTCCAACCAGGTTTGCAAACTGGCCTGTCAATATTATCGTCAACATTTTTAAACACATATTTCCGCTTATTGCCAATCGCCCTCAAACCTAATTATCGCGAAGCCATGAAATGACTGGCACATGAAATTTGAATGACCAGATTAAAAGAAAATTGTCTGAGATTAATCATTAGTCTGTCCGTTTGAACGTATTTTGTGTAGACCAGCTCATTTAACGTGTCACGGCGGACGGTGCGTAACGCGGCCGACAAGTCGGCCTAACATATGGCCAACATCAACATCGCTGTGTCCAGTTTCAGACAAATAAAAACAAGTACACACGCTGCTTGCTGTCAAATCGCATTTCAAATTTGCTTGATCACAGCACTGTCGTCTAGTTTAGCGAAACTGTACGAGTTTTCTCAATGATGAGCATCTACGATCGGACAACGTTTCTAATTATTGTTGAACGTTCTGTGATGCATATCGATCTCTGATAGGCTCCAGTTGCTTCGTTTTTTTATTTATGTGTTGACTAGCCTGCAGCTGAAATACGGAACAATTGCTGTGTCACCCAAGCCAAATGGTTTGTGGAATAATCATCTTTCCATATGTAGAATTGGAAGTCTAAACGTGTTTGGCAAAAGTCAGTTTGAATTTTTGTCTGGAGAAATTTCCTTCCATACTGTTTCAGTTTGGTGGGGTTTCGGAGTAGGGTACGATTTAAGTGCATGGTCTTGAGATCGGTCACAACTGGCAACAGTGCTCACAAGTAAATTGTGCGCCCCCTGTATTTTATAGTTTGTCTCGCGATCGGGCTAATTCATCTAAACCAGATTTCCTCCTTTGAATCCTAAGATGACCAGCAAATTAGCATGAAAGATTATAATACTGCGTAGCCTGACTGCCTTTAAATTAGATTATGCAACCTACAGGGTCACGCATTTTAAAAAGTAACCGATAAATTTCATCTCCACACATCATATTCAACATTCGACATATTTCCTCACGAGTTTGATTACAGAACAAGTAAATAAAAAATCTTCCCAAGGTTGCGTACGTATAACTATTGTTAATCAGAAAGAATTTTGTTCGGGAACTGCTGCAGAGAACTACCTTCCACGAACCGAGACGTCTGGTTTTTTTAGCCAGCACTTCGCATTATGTATAGGTTTGCGAAAAAATAGATGACCTTGATGGTAAGATAACACTTATCTGGCTTGAACCAGCAGCCTGTAATCCCTATTCTCATGGGCACAATTTTGGCCTGCATGTCACCGTAAATGTGGGTCATTATTTACTGAAGCATTGAAAGCGCAATTAGGAATATGCGGGTTTGAATAGTTGAATTATAAGAGTAGTGGTCGCATCGTCCTCAAGAGCTCTCCAATATATTGTCCGCGAGCGTGATATGTAGTTTTTGACCGAACCTGCGAAAATGTTGTCGACTTTCGGTTTCTCAAAATATCATCCTCCAGCTTATACCGAGGTTAATTTCTGGCCATGCACCAAAAATCCAATTTGAGTAGTCACTCGTTGAAAACGTGTTTGCGATAAAATGACATAATTGCCCCTGGCTTTGAGCACCTGTAAACGGCGGAATGGCACACTCACGGAAAACGACCCAAATGCCCTTAATTGGGGAATGGGTTATCTTCGGAAGATCCCTCGGACGCACGAGAAGGCAACAAAAAAGGTACCTAAAATTGTGATAACAATACAGTGATGCACTAAAGAACACACTGCAATATCGCGACCCGGCTGCGGAACGGTTGCAGCTTCATTGTCCGCGGAATACAGCACCATGGTAAATCAATAAAAAAACCGTTAGGAAGCCACCTTACAAACGCCAACAGAAAATGTGCCACGGACTCATGTATGGGCCCACGCTCGTGTGTGACCTCATTGGATATGCTGTCACACGACTACGGACATCCTGTCCCATGAAGGGTTGTTTGGAGCTGTGTTAAGACTATGTAGGTCTATATGAGGTTTGAGAGGTCGCGACACTCATGTGCACGGTATCTGGCATCGAGCGTCCTCAGAGGCTGATGTCATAGTTGGGTAAGTGTGACTGTCCATGTTTGATGGGAGAACATGTCAGTTCCTTTCAATTTTAGTTTTCCCCTCCCAGAAGATGCGCGTTCACCGAATAGAACACCTTCGGTTGATCCTCTGAAGTGGTCTCCCCAATAACTACGCGTACGACTATCCCCTCAAACAGACCCAGAATGAGATCAGTCGTGATCAAGGATGAAGTTTTGCACTATGGGAACATTGAGTGTAGCCTCCATTGCGAGGCGGGGAAGGAGTTTCAAGACGTATCACTTCAAAGGTCGGAAATTATGGCAGCTTTGCGTCATTGAATGAACAGTGTTGTCTTCATGTCACAGTTCAGAAATCTAACTGCACGAATTTTACACCAAGATCTTTTTTGGGATGCTATTTGGTGCCAAGATGACGCCGAGATGGGTCTTTGATGGACGTTGAGTAACTGGTCCCCTAAAAAGTGATGATTTCAAGGTTAATATCACAGGAATGGGGTGGAGTGGTTCTTCTTTTGGAGGTGGCCAACCGGAGAGTTTTGCAGGCCTGCAGCTATGCTGGTCATAATCGGGTTGCATGGGAACTCTGAAAACGTCTCCGTCACCTGGGATACACCGTCTTCGAGGTGTTGAGAGCACCTACTTCGACGTCTTTCATCAAGCCTGACCTAATCGCTTTTCGGAAAAGACGAACAACTGTGATGGACGTCAGCATAGTCTCGGATGGGCGCGGAGTGACTGTGTGGAATGAGAAGAAGCAGAATTATGACGTTGATGGATATTCCCTCGCCATAACCTCAGCCCTACGAGCAATCGGTTGGGATGTCGACATTTTGGTCCACCAGCCGAGGATCATTGTTTATCAAGGGATCTGCCTCTTCAATCCGCCAAGGCCTTTACCGGACTGGGACTCCCTGGGGTCACAGTCAGCAACTTGTGTTTGCTTGCCATTATGGGCTATCTGCGTACTGACGGCATTTTTGTTCGTGGTACATGGTGCTGAGTGTACATTCTTGCTATCGAATCTCACACCAGACACAGTGTGACGAACACTTTGTGCCTGATGTGCGAGTCTTGACTGTGTTAGCAGTTACCGAACCCTGAAGAGCATTCAGCATTGTTTGTCCTTTCCTCGGTTGTTGGTCTTTTCATGCGTATTTCCATACCAAACATGCTTATATACGTTGGGACTCATCTTGTCTGAATGGGATTTTTGATGGCATGACTTCGAATGAGACGCTTCTCTCTTCTTATATAACATTCTCCTGTAACCTTTCCACATTCATCGCCTGCATTAGACTTTTGTCTGTGACCATGCCCTTCAAAAATATACGATACCATAGTAAAAATTCCACAGAAGTACAAGTGGAATGAGCTGGCTACAAAGCAAGAAACATTGAAAGCGGATCTGATAATATCTATATCGATCCTAGACGGCACCTCATCGGGCAAGTTTCAAATGAACCACTTGGGCTATTTTGTTCTGAGAAGATGTTCCAAGTACCTTCGCAAATTAGTTTTGCAGACCAATATTTTTAAAGGAAAGATTATGCGGGTGAACCCAATCTGTTTCTTACTTCAATATATTCAAACTGATTCCAATCCGCTTCGCTTTATGAACAGAGACAACTTGAGTCAGGTGAAAAAGTTAAACTGTCAAACACCTAACTGTCGGATAGTTTTTTTTCTTTTGAGCGCGTAAGATCAACTGAGATGTTTGATTCAGAGGTGAATAATTAGTTGACAGTCGTGATCTTGTTCCTCTATGTAGCCCACAATTTATCTTGAGGTTTTTCAGTAGTCACTTTGCTGCTCGGCAGAAATTAAATGTTTTCCGCCGGATAACGGGAAGATTTGCCTGCAAGGTGGGCCCGTGCAGTGAAAGCAATGAAGTTGTCAAAATTGTGAAATTTTTTGAAGGTTTTTCATAATTGGGCGTGAAAAATAAGAAGTCTCAAAGACTGCTATGTTTATTACTTGGGTGGATATTTTTGTAAGGAAGCAAAGCACTAGTGAGCAATGTTCAGGATTTGCGTACGGTTCAAAGTGTAATCAAGGTCACCTATTTGATTGATTTGTTTAGCTTCTGTCCAGATGGGAACATTCGAATTTTCAAAAATACTCCTCAGCGCACTTAAACAAAATTAGAAGAACAGTGCCGTCTACTAAGATTGTGGACCGATTCATGATGAAAGCAAATCAGAATATTTCATTATATACATCGTTTATAACCTTTGGTAGCCGAAAAATTTGTTTTTCCTACGCTTCTCCTTAATTCATACTGATTCTCGAGATCGGATTGCACAAGTTGTTCACCATTCCTCTCTTCACTCTATCCCCAATTCCAATTAATCTTTTTTCATCTATACACACGTTTTTAGTTTTCGCATGTTTTAAGTGGGTTAATGCTCGTGGCTGTATCCAGGATACTTAACCCCGGGAGGGAAAAACTACAGAGTACGTGTCGAATCGATACCTTTTCGGAATTTTCTCGACCTCACTTTTTGCAGAAGAATCGAAATAGATTATCGTTACATCTCGTGAAGCCAGAGTCGAATGTGAGCCTTTTCTGCAAACTAATCGATAAACGATCAGGTGCTTGTGACTACCTAGCTTCCCCCAATGCCGTACCAATATAGTGCCCAAACCATTTGGACCAGCGACAGCGCACATTTTATTGTCACTGAACGTCGTTTACCTCCAGTCATGATACAGACAGTCAATTTTTAGCTCCCAGGTCGTCGTGACTCCAGATGTATTGTTTCCACGTGCCACGGCTTCCTACACCGAGTATAGGGAAGTTAATAGAATGGTGACGGCTCGTCGACGGATGGATCTGCTTATCCATTATGTAAGGAAGTGAGAACGATTTAGTGAATGCGAGAGCTTTGATTCAAGAACGCCACGCAAGCATCTCTGCCATGGTCATTGAACATCAAGCTATCGTAGTAGTGACCCCGTTTTCTTTAATCTGTATTTATTGGACATATCGCGCTTCACCTTTTGTATTTTCTTGCAATGGGAAGTCCAAATCGTGAGCGAGGAAGCACACTGACGATAGACTTAAACTAATGACCTGCTAATTACTGACAGAATGAGCTACTGAGGACATTCGCTGTTCGTCATATTTGTGCACGTGAAATTCACACGTGATATCTGCTGGACGGATTGTGTGTACAACCGCAAACGTTGTACCAACTGGGTGATTTGTGTGATGAGCCAGACCGTATCATGCTCAACGTACCAAAAGGGATTTTGTGCAGCTTATTAAATGAAAGCATGGTAGTAGCCTAAACCCCGAACCAGGTTCTGCTCCATACCAGAGCACCATCGGCATTCCCTACTGACTTGTAGACCAACATGTTGTTTTCACCAAAGTGCTGATCAAGTGACAGTACTGTGTTCCTTGCCACCGGAAAGACAGAATCAGTAACAAAACCGAAGATGTCAGGCGGTAATGTCATGGTTATCACATCTGGGTGCAGTCTGTCTCGTAGTAGCAAAAGATCCTCAGGTCTAGTTTTATGAAATTCCATACCTTATTCGAAACCATGGATATACTACGGACATTTACTGGCGAGGGGGAGAGATTGGTGGGCCACTACCGCAGCTTGAGTCTTCTCTGAACCAGCTGAAAATCTGTGCATGTGTAGATTGGGTTCTTCCGCCTCTATTGGGGTCTTCAGCTAACACGTCGCAGGGGTCTTTAGGTCTTTAGGGGATAGGTCCGAAACAGTAACCCTTTCCCCGAACCCGGTCAAGGTATCAAGAGTAGGATAACAAGAGTCTTCGGAGTCCAGGACCACTTTCAGTGGACGTTTTCTGTTCCGGCAAGTATTAACAACTGGGAAACTGTCTCGGTAGGTTGCATGGGCACTCCAAGGACTGCTGAATCGTGCATTTTGTCGTCAAATTCATTGGCGAATGAAAGAGTCCATTACCGACCAGCAAGGCAGTAGTACTCTTCATGGATGGGGTCATCATCACCAATGAGTAGAGAAGAAGAATCTAGTGTTCCGTTATTTTTGGATCATTCAAAATCTTCCTTGGCGAGAAAAAGGGTATACCAGTGGATGACACTGAGACAATTAGGCATGATATGTGACCGGAGTCTCTTTTAAGCCTGAAAGTATCTTGCTTTGGATTCGCATTTGCTGCGAAACAACAACAAGTAATAATTGTTGAGCTGTGACACACTTTCGGTGCCTTGCTGCCATACCATCCGAAAGAAGTAAGAAGACTGAGCTACCGCCAGGTTACTCAAACCTAGACAAGAGCAGTAGAGATATCAAGGTTGGATTCGAAACACAAACCTTCAGAGAGTTTTCGTGGTGGGTTTGCAATGTCCCACAAGGATCCGTCTAGTGCGCACTTGAAACGGAAGCGATGATGTGTAATTCAGGAGACCTCTTTTCTTCCGTCTTCACTTATACTTTTCACTACTAGTTAGGCTGGGTGCTGAACAAGTGGGATATCAAAAACGAACTGAATGATGCAGGGTTTGTGGGAGTGAGTTCCATTAACCACCTTTTTGCCTACCCATAACTCTCTTGCACAGCCCTTCTCTTCTACTGGCTCAGTTATTCTGGTTAGTCCGCATCAATAACAAACACTGAAATTTAGTTTCTCTATTGTTAGTGCTCATCATCGGCACATACTAACCCTGGAAATCCTATGTGCGTGTGTGCTACTACAACTACACAAGCACGTCCAAGACACATCCTAACTAACACGTCTGAACGGGCGAACGTGCGGACGCTTGAGCGATGTGACTGGTTGGCACATTGACCGGGACAACGCCCCGGTAGCTCTCCCTGTTGTGACGATCGTCTAGTCCACCGGACCAGACTTCGCGTGTAGGTAGTCTAATGGACGTCTGAAACCTGTCGAAACACGTTCAACTGTAGAATGGTGACAATTCCCGTGCTTCCGGAATGCACTGCCGCTGTGGTGCTAACGCACACCTCGCAATTTCATGACCGGGGTTGAAATCCCGGAACGACTAAGGATAGCAACTACCGGTGAGTTCTAGTGTGAGCGAAACTCGAATCCAGTTCTGTTAATTCTGGTGTGGAGTAACGAGGTTACTTTCGTGAGGACGGAAGGCGGACTGTTCAAACGAGGACGGTGTAAGTGCAGACCACGCCAATATTATTATTAACCTCCTGTGTACCTTGATGTGAATAGGCCGAGCAGTTGAAACTTGGGGATGCACGTACATCAAATAAACATGAGTTTGCCCAAAAAAATCAAATAAAATGTGATAAACAGATTAACGCATCACAACTGTCAGTGCTATATCACTATCATGCACCTAGCGTGATGGAGATTAAGGTACGTGAATGACCCACCATTAAATGAGAAGATTGATGCCTCTGACTGCAAGAAAATCGGCTTTTCCCCAATGGAGTGACATGGGTGAGGTATACTCAGAGAGAGTTTGAAATCGAACAGATACTCATCCGGAACTATTGCCGTCAGTGTGCATAATGACACAATCTCTTACTGCCATTCAACGGATGAGGAACTTCGGGAGCAGTCGAACGAATACGTATGTATTTTTTTCCGATGTTCCAGTGAGTGGTACGACCTGGAGACAAATAGGAACTTCTGAATATGGGACCGAACGAGCGGAAATTATACAAAACAAACCGGTCAATTCCACTCATATTTAAATCAACTCGTCTTCTGCTTGTTGTAGTAGACCTGTGACCTAGAGATCGTTATTTTTTGCAAAGGCCGATCGACCTCACTCAAGTGTCTGCGCACCAATGAAGAACACATTTCTGCGTCCGAACGGCAGTCGGCTACTCATTCATTCTGTCGACGTCCATTCAACGATCCATCGATAAATCTGAGTGGACGATACAGAAATGCGTAATCGAATGCACAGACGTACTGGATTCATTCTGGATACCATAATCATCTATGTTTCCAGTACAACCCAGGGTTGATCAGCAAGTTGGGATGCAAGAAATGAATAGATCAGATGAAAAAAGGATCTACTCGTACACCGTTCATGACAGGCGCTCACCTTTCTAAACCCTACGAAATTTCCCCCGCCAAAACAGTCTGCATCTTTCATTTGTGTTTGTTACAGAACAAAGAAACTACACTACATTCCCCGATAGATTCCCTCTGGAGAACAACAAATTTTGTCTACAGAGCATCCGTCTACAACATGGGAGGAATAATCTTGGCAAAGACATCAGCAGAGGGGATTGGAATTTACAAACTTCGATTGTAAATACTGAGGTCCACGTCTCAGGGTCGAACAATTGGTACTAAATAAAACCTCCGATAATATCATATCTTTATCAGGGTTATCTAAGTTATGCGCTGAGTAAACATAGACAGTCACGATGACGTATTACATAAGACCTAGCCGAGCAGATTAACGGATATCTCATCAGGATATCTATCAGCATTTTATGAACGAATTTTGTGGTACGATCAAATATTTTGGTATCATGTAATTTGATGTTTTTCGTTGAATCTCGGAAAGAAATTTAATGCTTGCCTCAAGAAAAACGAAGTTGTCTTATTGATAAGACACTCAATGCCCCATGTGTTCCTCTGCGCAGTAATGTAATCTGATAGCAGCTTTCTCGGAGGGATTAGCAAGTGTCGGCAGAGCTTAACCGAGTGGGTGAGTGGGTGGGTGGGAGGTGTGAGAAACCTTGAACACAAAGCTGAAGCAAGGAATTAGGATGTTTGGGAACAGCTAAGACGAACGCCGGCAGGGCAGGTGAGCGAAATGGTTCTTTTTTCAGGTCCCATCTTATGTTTTATCCCTCTGACATGGGAAGACCGGACACGCACGATGTTTCCTGCACAAGTGTTTTCTTATTAATTTTAACGTGAATGCCTTCAAGATTCTATAATCTTGCTTTTTCTTCCCAAACTGTATTCGAAAACTGTACGATAAATGGTGATGGAACCAGACATTTGGAATGTCGTTTCAAACAACAAGGCCTTCAGTCAAAGTTTGCAGTTTTTGTGACGGTGTATTTCAGGCCTCAAATAACTTATAAGCCCACTTAGTAATCTCATTACTATTAAAATTCCTATGAATTTTCGGAAATTTTCTTTTTTTGATGGACAGATTCGTCGTTGGCTCTGCAAACCACTTCCTGCGCTTGAAGCACCTAGAACATGTATTCCGCTGGTCTAATGGAAGTTACCAGGTTTGTATGGCTTTACAACTGTTAGGTTTAAATGCTTCAAATTAGTTTTTACTCCTGAAACATCAACTGGACCAAACGAGCACTTTGCTGGATTCCTCAGTGGTGCTTATTTTGGGACACGTGCCGTGGAATCTATTGGTGGACTAGATAGCTGAACACTGCTCGAACCAGAGAAGCGAATGTGCAAGCGTTGTCTACCATATACTCTGCAAGGAGAGTGCAATACCGAGAGCACTTACCTGAACACAAACGATACCCTACATCCGTGAAGTAAAGTCAACAAAACACCATGCATTTTTAATGGTACACAGAACGATTCAGAGGACTCAGCTGTGTTGTACTGAATTTCCAACCATTCATATGCAAGAAAGCCGTGTCAATCGCCGCGATGGTTAAAACATGTCAACTGTTGCTGGGGCTGGCATACTCTTCCAAACACAGTCGTATTTGGACAGCGGCCAAAAACAAATCTTCTTTGCGCAGTTCCACAATCTAGCTCACCACTAAAACTGCTGATATTCTGACCATTTTGAAAATCGCATCTGAGTCATGCTTGGTTAATGAGTGCAGTAGTGGTAGACGGCATGCTGAACCACCTCCTCGTGGCGCCGACTAGGTAGCCCGGACGTCAGTCTGGATGAGCTAAGAGTTCAGCAACTCCAGACAGGGACATCCATCCTGCTTCGTTTCAATGTGCTGGTTGCTTCCGGCAATGTACACCACGACTCATCTGGCATTTCCGCACGAGTACACGGGAGAGACTCGTGGGGCTCATGTGTGAAGAATGTGGTATGTGCTGCAAATCGAAAGCTGGCTTAGTAGCCCACCATCGAGATCACGTCCATGAAAGTGTTGGTAGGAACGTGGTCACCCACTTGGCCTGCGCTGATTGTTCCCACTTTTTTTAACAAGGGCTGACCTAACTAAACACCGTCGGCACGCACACCATACCCAATATAATGCAGGTAAGTTTGGCTGAGTGAAGAATTCCGGTATCCGCTGGTCTCATCAAGATCCACATTCACTGTTGCGCCTGGCTAACAACATACATCCGTCTTGTGGCACACGAACTGCGCCGTTCACAAGATTGGAGTAGTAGTTTCTGGGTCTGTCGGCTATCAGCACCAAAACAGGCACCAAAACTGGCAACCACACTTGGACGAGTCATCATCTGGTGACCTGGACAAAACCATCTGTCAAACAGCGGCCTGTTCGTCAGAAGCTGATGACTATAGTGTCTGGTTTAAACAAACCGTGGATTGCGCCATGTTACTCTTGGAATCCCTTGCTGACTATTAGCTTGCTAGTGTTGACCTTCTGGCGTTTGACTGAGGGTCGCAGTCAGGCATCATGACACCGGAGCAAGTGCTGTCACTTCTGTACCTCCACGCATTCAAGACGTTTCCACACGCTTGGAATCCTGTCTCCCGGTGCCACCGTCAGCTAGCTAATCGGATGCCGGTCGGCAGAAAGCAGATACGCCGAGCTAACTACGTCGCCATACAGACCCTATACCACCAAGGACGGAAAGATGCAGCGTCTGCTGTGCTCGATGTGTCATGGAAGGACCTATACAGTGGTAAACGCGGCCTACCTCTGGAAGCCGAGAAGTATTGGAAGCAGGTGCTCTCAGCTGCAAAACTCGTAGACAGCCGGCCAAATCGCGCAGCGCTACCATCTAATCGGAGTTCGATCGATTGAATAGCATATGAGGAAGTCGGTAATACGATCCGTCTAATGGGCGATTCGTTCTCAGGTCTGGACAACCTCAGGGCCTGGATACCTCACTGGTTCAATACCAACGCCCTCGTTGCGTATTCCAACTTACTCTTATTATATGGGGGTTGTCCCCCGCATCTGTGTCGTGCTCGTATTACCTTACTTCCGGAGTCTCCAATTCCTACTTCCGCGAGTCACCCAAGCCTGTTTGATACTTTCATAAGTTGTTTGTTGATCGCTGGAGGCGTAGATTGCAACTTCCCTCACTTCAGTTTGCATTTATACATCGAGGCAGTTGTTCGGAAGCTATACCACTGTTACATGCCCTGCTTCTTCACTCTTCCGTGACTGCTTCCAACCTCAGTTTGGCATTTGTTGATATACCAATAGTGTTTGATTCGGTTTCGCATGGCACACTTATCAGATCTGCCGGACTTTTACAGCACCGTCATCCGTGGTTCGATACATCGCACAGTCCTTTGAGAAGTCTGCAACATTTTTCCCCAAATCGAGGTCCACTACCACAGAGGTGTGCGGCAGGGGGATGCACTCTTCGCAATATTGTTCATCACGACACTGGATGAGGTTTTTGGATTTTCGATTGCGAAACTAGGCTGCCAGTCCCCTGAGTCTGCCTTCGCTGACGACTGGGTAGTGTGTACAGGAAGTCAGGCTTGAGGCTACCGCAGTCTAGTTGGGAAGACCGATATGAAGATCGTCGCCCGCAAAACGAAAGTAAAGCTTGTTTGTGGAGAGAGGAAACATTGAGTGACAGTAAATTCAGTCCAACCGCTTTGCTTCGCCAAGGAAATCGTCAGTCCTCTGGATCCGACATACACCGTAACATATTTGGTAGAAAGAGGTCTACAGTCACCAACAGCCTCCAAGTGTTCGACGAGATGACACGTGCCCCGTCGAAGCCGCATCAAAGAATGGAAATTACGAGTGACCGCCTGATAGCGAGGCTGAAATATTCGCTCGTGTTCGGCCAAATCCACCGAAACACGCCCAAAAGCTTGGACAACTACATCAGGCGATCTATTCGTGGCTGGCTACGCCTAACGAAGGACACTCCAGTCATCTACATCCACTCCGGTAACCAACATGGGACTTCGTATCCCAAGTCTGAGTGCAACAATCCCGATACAGTGGAAAGTGCGTGTGGAAATGCTGTTCTCTATCCATTTCCGAGTACTACGCAATGTGGTCAATCGTTCCACATTTGCTAAGGTTTTTCTGGAATGCAGCCTTCCAATTCGAGTGCAAAATGCATGCGTAAACACCATGAAAGAGCTCATGGCTGCTTGGAGCAATAGATTACAGAACAGCTTTGGCGGTCGCTGTAGACGAGAGCTTGTCGCTTCGCCTCTCTTGAATCGAATACCTGTGTGTTTCCTCGGTCATTCGGTATCCAGCTCCGATGCAACCTGCTTAGGGCGAGAGTTAGAAGTGCCTGGCGTGATTATGGTGGCCAGACGATCTCCTCTCGTGGAAACCGTAGCCAACCGGAGAGTTTGGTTCATATTCTTCAGTCCTGTTGCATCCTGCATGATGCCAAATGTTCTCCTCATAATCGGGTTGAAAGGGGACTCACAAAACCTTTACGTAACGTACGGGACACCGTTTTCGAGGAGCTGAGAGTACCAGAGCCAGCACCTTTCTTCACACCTGACCTAATCGCTATTCGGGAGGACTGAGAAGCTGCTTTGGACGTCAGCATGGTCTCGGATGGGTACGGAATGACTGCGGGGAATGAAAAGAAGCAGAATTTTTCCCTCGTCATCATCTCAGTCTCACGTGCAATCGATTGTGATATCAGCTTTTTGTCCCACAAACCGAGGACCATTTCACACCAAGTCTGTTATTGAACTGTGACCTCCTAAGGTCACAGTCACTGACTTGTGTTTGCTCGCCGTTTCGGGCTTTCTGCGACCCTTAGGACACTTTTATGCGTGGCACATGTCATCGAGTATTCATTGTTGCCATTGGCTTTCGCGCCTGTCACTTTGTGACTGATGTGCTAGCACTCGCTGTGCCTTTAGAAGCACTTATCATTTATGGACGTAATGGACTACTGTTGAGGTTGCTGACAGCCCGCGACCGTTTTCGCCCCTCTTGGAGCTCATCGGGTAGGCGCAGTCTCCAGGTTTCCGTCAACCTCATGTTCTACCTGAACCCAAAATTAGCTGAAAAACAGCATAAACAAGAGATTCAACTGGGTTCCAGGTAAATCACCGGTCAAAACCAAACTGGTGTGCAAATGAGTGTTTCGCTGGCATTTAGCATTGTTTGTTCGTTCTTCGGTTGTTTCCTTTTTCCACGCGTGTTTTCATACTAAACATTCGTATATACTTTGGGATTCATCTTGTCTGACTGGAACTGTTGGTGGCACGCTTCTCAATGGAACAACTTCCTCGTTTTATCTAACATTAATAATAATAATATTATATTAATAGGTGTGTTATAACAGTAATATTAATGTCTAGTAATAATGTGGACCATTCCTCACCTATCGCCTGAATTTAGCCTTCCTGTTTGTGACATCGCTCTTCAGAAATAAGCGATAGTAGTAGTCAACACACCGCAGCGGGTTTGCTCAAGGACTACCCCTGCTCACGTTTGGAAAATTTGTAACCTCAAAGTTCTCTTGATTCTAGTGTGCTATGCTGAGGGGCTTCAGGCTGAATGAATTTGATTATTTGCTCAAGTGAAAAGTTTAGAATCGATCGAAAACTTCAGTAAACTTCATGAAAATAGAGGAATTTTGTTTGGTCTGGACAGGAGAGCTAACCCTGCATCACGCCTGGCAGAATAATTCGTATCATGCTACGTGCCCTGAATTTTTACTGGCTCACAAATGAAAGGGTTGGCTGGTTACATTCCAAAGCTACGTTTTCCTCCTCTAGTAAGCAGACGATCCATAATCTCTGTTTCAACCGTGTGGATAGGAAGAAACCAGGCTGGAACATGGGTACTTTCGTGTCTCTTGCCTAATTCCCGTCCATCCGATGGGGCAAACAGAATGTTAAGTCCGGTCCATTAAGTCAACATTTCAAATGTGAGACTTTAGCTGTTTGTGCAATTTGGAGCATGGACAAAGCATCATGGCTTCTTAAAAACAGACGTAGGATAGAGAACTATGCGGTCTAGCGTTTCTAGCCGCACGTAATCACACGGCTACAGCCACCGAAATAAAGTGAGGTTGAAATACTGCAAAGTACGGCCTAGCATGGGTATCTAACAAGAAGACTAATTATTGGTGGTTCAAAGAATCGGTAAGCCTTCAAATGTCTCTTTTGGTCGCTTGTATCTGAATCGTAGCCACTTAATCTGTTTCTATTCCTCTTCGGCGAACGGCCTTTAACTGATCTTGTGGCATGATATAAATCCCTCTGAATGATTCGACCGTGTTGACCCAGCAGCCTGCAGTGGTAGGTTAGTCAATGACCACGTTTGAATTATCTGTAACTGATGCCGCCAATCCATGTATGCTAGTTTTGTTCGGCGGGATGAGTGCTCATTCGTCGGACTCGGAACGCTCACAAACACCTGAGTGGATAACCGTAGAGGATTGGTAGAATGACCTCCCTCCAAAGAAGAATGACATTACCCAGGGTTTCCATTTAACTAAAAACGTGCAATAAGCTATGTCCAAGTCTATTCTCAAATCTCATTTGCTAAATGGATTTTGTTGTCTGGTCCCAGGAGGACAACAAGCCCAGGTGTGTGTATGTGTATAGGCTGGGATGATGGGTGGGGTAGGGCAAGTGTGTGCGTCACTGAAACTTTATTTGCTGTAATGACCCCTATAGCGTTGTCAGTTAGTCGTGTCGTGTGGCCTTGAGTAATACGGACCAAAAGGCTGAGTGACTCAGTCACTCCAGTCAGGTCAAGTGGAAGCATTTCAACTATAATTACTAAAAGGAGCGATTGCAATCAGTCAAAGTGGGAATCATAATATTGAGCATACTCAGGTTAACCGAACGTTCGGTTAACCTTGGAGCATTGCGTGCACATAGCCACTAGGATTCCCAACGAGTCATGTGCCTTTTTACTGGGATAACAGCAGTCACGCAATGCAGTCACTACGTGTCCTGTACACGTATCTGTATACAACAGGCCAACAGCTCTATTATGTATGCCACCCAATGTCCCTAAACTTGACCTTTTTCATCCTTTTTTCCTTTTT